ATATATACATGAACACACAAAATTACCACTGTTATAAAGATGTTAGGTAAATCCAATGAACAACGAGCTCGCTTAACATGAACGCTTTATGTATTCAAACATTTTATTTTGGAATACTCCGTATAAATTCAATATTTAAGATGATCACCTGCATGTATAAGTGCAAGATACCTTTTCTTTATATCATTTAAGGAAAATAGTGTAAATATCTACCTTCTTCAAATGAATATTATAGTGTGTGTATTTATAGAATGGTTTGTATAAAGCCATATTCTATTTTGTTGTTGACTGTGCCAAGTCATTTGAAGCGAGTCAAATGCGGTTTTTGTTGAGTCATACTAAGCGTGCACCAGGAATAATTGATTTTTACTAAATTGCTGCATTGCTGTAGGCGAAGAGTAGAAATGGGTCTTGTGTTCGTGGAAATGATCTCAGTTATCTGATATTCGTCATCTATATCTTAATATCCTATGGCGTTTTCAATGTATAAGACTGTTGCATAAATCAAATATACACTATGTATATATAGTGATAATACATGTCTTACTTGTTACGTTTTCGTTCACAGAAAATCGCTTAATCAGTTACCTTACTTTTGCTTGATGTCTAGAGCGCATCAAATTTGAAAATACATACCACAGAATGATAGTTGTAAATCAGAGAATTGTTCTTCAGGAACAAAGTAGGATTGTTCATTTATTATATATTCATTTTAACATATTGCGATTAATATTAAACTAAATGATATATTTTCAGATAGGCTAATAAACGGAACAGTTCACGTCAGATTTCCTGAGTAACTCTCTTTCCATCAAGAGGTCGTTGTGTTACGCTATGAATCGCACCGGTTACATTGTGTTAGGGGTCCTAATATTTGCATGTATAGTTGCACTGGTTCTTGGGCTGTATTTTGGACTTCGAAAATCTGAGGATGTGAAGTCTAATAAGGTATTCCTCGATTCATTCAGTGCATCTTTGGATATTGATACGGTTGAACGTAGAGAACTTGGCACTGAAAAAACGTATCTGAAGGTAGAATGGAATTCAGATACGTTGGATATGAGTTTTCAACAAACTGGAGTATTTTCAACCAAGTATGACTTTGACTATGAGCTCATCTTCACCATGGCAGATGATATAGCGACTATAGGCATTTATAACAACAACTCCTCCATGGTGTTTTGTTTGGAAGAAACTTCCCTGTCACGATGGCTTAACGTTTTTGACCATATTGTTAAAGCTAAGGATTGGATAAGCGGTTCATAATCAGACAAATGTCGTGGTGATATTTGGTCTACAAATCTCGAAGATGACACGATTGATATATGTACTTACGACAATCAGTTAGAATATGTTGTGTATCAGAAAAGTAACGCCATGGTAACAAGTTGGTCAAGAAGTGATAAACAAACTATCAAAATAGCATTCGATGTACAGAATGGTCCGTGCCCAAGAATCAGTCTTACGAACTGCAACAACTTTGGCGATGCTCATACAGTCAAACGAGATTCAGGAACATCTCCTACCACGTGTTTGTTTGTGCATGGGACTGGTGTAGAGACTCCTAGCAATAGAGTTCTTCAGGATCACTCGTCTTACTGGGGTAACGTAAAAAGTTTCACTTCAAAATGCGTGTCTCATAAATTCCTACAATATAACAGCTTATCCAACGGTTGGGATGTGGACCACATACACCAGCATTTTTGTGATGTTGCTGCTCCCAATGGAATCATAAATAACACGGTGATATTTTCACATTCGATGGGGAACTTGGTAGTTGCTGCCGCTCTGCACCTTAATAAATGTTCTTTCGACGAAACCACGAGCCGCTGGTTTTCTGCGCAAGGTCCGTGGAAAGGAAGCGTGGCACCCAATAAACTTTCAGAAATTTGTAGAAATCCTTCTCCTTTTATGGAGAAAACGATTCTTCGACCTTTTCTTAGGGTACTTCAATACTGTAAATTTCCTGAAAATATTGAGTTCGAATCCTACACGACTTTGAAAACTGATTATATATCGCCTACCGGAATAAGATTTTCTGATCTGATTAACGTTGGTAGGAGGTATGTATCTGGTGTGATGTGTGGAGCCAGTAGTTGGGGTATGGGCCAGGATTTCATCTCAAGCACTTTCCTTTCGGCAGTACAAATGTACAGCGGACTTGGGGATCCTAATGATGGAATGGTGGCATTTGATAGCTGCAAATTAAAGAATGAAGTGTTCGAAGCAAGAAGCTCTCATTCATATTATAAAGACAAATTCAACCATGCAGATGGCACTTGTAGATACGGAGGGTGTCCCTGTTGGTGGTATCATAATATGCTTTAATATCATTGTTGCTGGACACTTGCCAGTGACAGATCTATCTGAATTCCGTGCATGGAACGCGTAAATTGAGCGAATTTCACATTCTTAGTTTCAACCACGCAAATGGAGGTTGTCCCTGTAGGTGGTATCATGATATGCATTAATTCTTTGCATCGTTCAAAAGAACCCATATTCTGGTCATAATATAATGATGTAATGTTTATAATGGTTAAGTAACGCATTTTTTTCATTTGATAATTTTCATGATCTAATTTTCAATATACTAATGATTCAAGATGCTATGCAAATGATGGCGGCCATCTTTCCAGTCGAGGCAGATGACTGACATCGACATTGGAAAAAATCATTATAACAAAATGCTAAAATGTGCCATTAAAATATGAAAGGGAGTGTACGATAATGATAATTTTTGTGACATATACCGATTCGCTTTTCCCTGTTTTAAGTGAGTTTGAATGTAGGCCGTAAAATGTCAGAATGTTGATAAAGATGATAATCGTTCAACAGGCAATATTCTCAATCAAGTATTCATTTTAGTTAACAATATCACAACGAAATGAAATCATATCAGATTGTATTGTCTCCTACCTTTACTGGATAATTTTATAGAGAATGATAAATAAATCCGAATCCCCAATGGAAAGAAGGATACTGAAAACTTCGAATGAGTTTCCTGCCATGACCTCTTGTCGAAGCCTCTCCCAATTGTCCATTGCTACCTTTACCATCCAGAGATAGACCTGGCGAATTTAAGATATGTTCATCAGTAATTCATATGAACAACAATTAAGACAGAAAATCCAGGCACACAAACAGCCTTTTCATGTGCCTCGGCCAATACCCCGGAACTTGACCGGAAAGTGGGCTGAACTTCTACGTCATCAATGGTTGAAAGGGGCGTTTTAATTGTAATTTTTGTTGAATTTTCGTAGGTATAGCTATAATAGCAACATTTTAGACTCAAATTATTTTAGAATGTGGAATGGTATGTTACTGGAGATCAGGTAATGGATGTTTTCGTTTCAACACTGCGTCTTGTATTCAAACCAAACTTCATGATCTAATCTCCAGCATCCTACCCCCAGTATGCATAAAAAAGAAGCATACTTTCCCCTAAATGAACATAGTCGTTAGGCATGCAATGTCAATGACTGATCTTTCTGATAGTTTTCAGCGAATCATCTTTAAACTTCATATTGAAGTATAATAACTTGATAACCTAGATAATTTCGTTTAGATGGTCTTTTTTTCAATTTCCGAAACGGTGTCGATCGATATCGCAAGTACTTTTCAACAGATCAATTTCAAACTTCATAGAAAGTCCAAAACCATGATAGCTCGGAAATGTTTAATCACCGTAATTTCTTGACCGTAATTCATGGAGTTATGGCTATTCTTTGAACTACGGAAAGAGTGTTCTAACTCGATATCGAAAGTAGTTTTCAATGTATCAACTTCAAATTTCATAGGAAGGTGCATTACCACGAAAGCTCAGACAAATTTGATCACTGTAATCCAATTTCCGATTGATGAGGAACTGCTCAGAAGCTTATCATTGCGTACTTAAGCGCTGTTTTCTATACAACAGATCGTCATTTTTGATAATGTTACCATCATAAATATCATAAAGCATTATTAAATATATATACCCAGATGTGGATATCAATGACCTTTTGAATCATATCTGATAATGTTAGTATATTGTATATCATTTTGCGTCTTACATTTTAATCCTCAATTGGTTAAAGGGACAAGCTATGAATTCAATACATTATTTTTGACTGTTTTTTATTCAAGCAGCAGGACATATAAGTTTATTTCGCTTTGTATTGTCTGGTATAAACAACTAGGATTATTATAGACTAGTATGGTTATAGCGCTGCATTTATCATCCCTAGTATAATACTTCGTTCTTATAAACCTGGATTCGATACGAGACCATGACATAACTTACTTGTATAGTCCAAAATTCATATTGCGCTTACTTACCTCTCCAGAACGGAAAAACTGGCGTTATTTTCCCTGTACTTTTTTCATGAATATCTTGGTTATTCCTTTTCGTTTCATGCTTTGCAGTCGTCAAATGCAGTTCAATTTTGAATCACGATTTTTGAACATGTCGATATTTTCTGGTCGTGTTATGATAGAACAAAAAATGAACAAATGAATCATTTCAGATTATCGTGCCACCTGCGAGATTTTGGCAATGTTGACATGTATTATGACGTCATTCAATGGATTACAGCTGTAGTGACGTATACTTGATCTGTTTTACATAGTGATATTGTAGTAATTTGAAATTTTCTTGTAGATACAGATACATTAAAAGACATTACGACAGCGTCGTTTGAGCATTGACTGTTTTATGTAAATATTTCTGTGGAAGATAAAATCAAGTTTGATGAATATATGAATATCACCAATAATAGATATTAGAGAATTGTACATTCAGTAAAGCTATGTATTACATGATGATTGTTATTGTGTATAATTTGTAAATCTCTGTACATTGCTTTGTGAAAGAAACCACCAAAAGAAAGTTTCCACTAAATGTATTAAGTTATAGATGAAAACAAACGGTGATAGTTAATAAAAAAATGTTTTATTTATCTTTTTAACTATCTTTTTGTGTATGTATTCCCCCACGTCCACTTCCGTACTTCTGCATACCACTAGGAGTGACGACCGTTTTCCCACGCCCATAGACGCACGTTCCAGTCCATTGACATAGAAGGGATGCTATCGAGGATGCGGGTGTACGTACCGAGAGAAACAGGCAACTCTCCGTTGTTTTTTAAGGCACCATATTGGTCAGGATCTGTTACTTCAGGGACCGGATAAAGTCTTAACATGAAACCTTTACCTACAATAGACAAACAAGTCACAATGTTATTTTTGTGGGATATAATACCCATGCTATTTCCATACACAAAGCCCGTCTCTCTTTATGAAAAATTTCAGAAGGTTAAATCAGGATTGAGTTACTAAATAAAGTTATGTCAATTATTCAAATAATTTTTTTTTTTGAACGTTGAACTGGTCACCATACTCGCAAACAACGAGAACATTCAGAAAAAGAAATGTTTATTGGAAAAGGATAGAAATAATCACATAAAAATAGTTATCCATTCCTCGAATTATAATTTTTTTTTTTTTTTTTTTTTTTGAAAAATCCTCGTCGTGTGCGAAAGATTATTATTTGTATTATCACTGAGTTTGCCTCTGGTGTCAACATTCACCAAGGCACTCACAATACATCTCTGTAAACGGCTAATAGACTATCAATAGCTGACCTCGTCGTCAGGGTCAAAGTTTGACATCCGGCAAAGCTATAACAGCATCCCTCCCTGACAATATTAACCAAGGACTCGACTTTATACTGATTTCTAAGCCTAGGATGAGCGTAAAAACACATTATTTGCGCTTTTTGAGGGGTTTTGTGCCAACACCGTAGCCAAATTATCGTCCGTTATCACTGTTATCGTATCTCGAGAACACGTCGAAAGTCGAAAAGTGAAAGATCGGATGTTCACACAATGGTTTACTCAAATTTAACATTCCGAAATATAATTCATAGAGTTCATACCTATATGAACAAATGTTGTAATTTTCCATATGAACAAAATCAAGTTTCAATACAATCATAACAAAACACACAAATAATGAAGCACTCTGTAATTTGTCACAAATCTTGAAATGGCGTGAGACTTTTAACAAATTCAAATTCATTTATTTCTCTGTGTCACGTGTATAGCGTGACACAAAAGGTCATTTTAAAAAGTTAGAATCGAAGCATGGCTGGCAATTAGTTTTACATACTTATACATAGTAATACATGTATGCTAAAATTACAAAAATGACCGTTCTCCAGAAATGTCTAATACATGTAAGTTACGCAGGTAGTCAGACCCGGAAGCAGTGCATAGTGTAAATAACGTTGTAACCTGCAAACAGGTAAGCAATATTGATAGATCACTTAATAGTAAGTTCAACTTTTTATGAGAATCTACAAACGTTTAAAATTAAACGCGTATTTAGAATGGAAAACAACCCCTTTGTTTCAACAAAACTTGGATATTTGCAATAATAATTTGGAATGAATTTGTTTCTAAGTCGTAGTATTTGTGCATCATCACAGTTATAATGGTATTCATCGCCAATTTCATTAGCACAAAAGTGTCTTTTCGGCGTCCTGTTTCAATCGGAAAGTTCATATTTGAAGTAGTGATGGGAACCTTTTTTTTTGTAATTTTAAGCTAAGATATATAATTTACCCTGAATTTTGAGAAGAATTAATATCCTTGGCAATTTGCATCTCTATTATGCTAATATCAATTTTATTTTTGTGAAAACAAGAAAATACCAAGGTACTAATGCTCGATTATAAAAAGATATGATCGATGATCGCATCAGATAAGGTTAAAAGATTAGATAATCGATTGCACCCGATTTTCGTCCCATCGCTAATTTGAAGTTCGAAATTTACTAAAAATTGTCCGATCTTTGTCATGAAGTTCAATTTAATAATTCTCAAAAATGAATTCACATTTGAATATTTGTAAAACTCCACGAGGAGCATTCTCTATTTCATTTAACCACATTTAGATGTATTGATCTTGTAGTCTTTCTCTAATAACAGATTTTAACCATGTTTTATTCGCAGAACCAGTTTCTTGGAAATTCCATATAAAAGTTCATACCTGCGCTATTGAAGATATGTTTTACATAATAAATCCGTTTAAATTGCTCCATTCCTCTGTCCTCTAGCTTATATAGTAATATATACATTATACTTTTAACATGTTCCCAACACTAGGTAAAAGGAAATACCAACATAGCCACATAATCAGCACACAAACTCAAATCCCATAAAGCTAGGGCAAAATATGAATAAAAGAAAAATTTACACGAAAACTACTGGAAAAGTACAAGGAATTTTAGACCAGGTGTTCCGGAAGAGTGAGTGCCTTTTGCTTCATCGACGATACCCGCCACGTAAGCCTTGGTCAATCCAAGTAATGATGTCACGTTATCAACAGAGAACGAGGTACACAACAACGGAACCAACAGGTAAATTAATGAGCATCAAATAGTTCAGCTTCATGTCGCACAAAGAAATAGAATATTTTTTCTCAATAAGATCACTACGGCAACCATAAAACGCCTCCATAATTCTCATCAAACTTCATCTTTTGAAACCTTGCGTTTCGAGTTTGTCTGACAGCTTGCGACTTCTTGCACGAAAATCGTGATAATGGGAACAGCCCTTGAATATCGAATCAACTGTGACCTGTAAATACCACAGGTGGGAGATGCAGGAATATTGCCGTACAGAAATGGAAAATTCACAATGGGGAAATTGAAATCATCACATTTATCATACACCTTGTTGGAAGACTGTCCATGTTGGTATCGTTGAAGGGAAAGATCGAGATAAGAAGCTGATGTAGAAGAGTCTGTCTCTGTTGTGTCTTTGATTTCCAGTACTGTTTAATATATACGATGGACGTAGTGTAAGAGTTTAAACAGGTTTATTTACATGCAATACATATAAACAATTAATGAGGGTCACACAGACCCCTGTTACCAAACTACCGCTCACGAAGACTCGGATGATTGGCCAAACGTTCAGATTTGACACACAAGTTTGTTGGTTGATTGATTTCAAATCTGTACCGTTCGCTGGCTTGGGTCAAAAGAGGACGAACGTACCTCTCCCAGTTAGAGAGTCACAATCAGGAAAGTAACTCTGCCCAATAATGCCAACTGTAGTCAACCAATTTCTTGTTATTTAAAGACAAAACGTCATCAATATCTTTGGAGGTGAAATTCAACGAATTTGTAATGTCTTTGTGACCTGTTTGGATAAGCTCGGTAAATTCAGCCGCGTATGAAAACAAAAGTCAGCCAACAGAGGGGCGCAGTTGATTCCCATAGGTATGCCAATAATTATTTGAAGATAATATCACCAAACTCGACGAAGATGCTGTCAACCAGAAACTCATCATTTCTATGATTTCGTCCTCCGTTTATTTTTCTTCTTTGATTTGGACGTCATTTTTACGAAATACGCTTCAGTATAGTTCACAATCACATACTTATACCGCCGTTCACCTTTCTTGGAGAAGAAAGATCTCATAACAAGAACACAAGGCGTGCCTTCAGTTTAGAATGGGATATGTTGGTGTACAAGGTGGAAAAATCAAAAGTTCTTATAGAAGCAATGTTTTTAGAAGAGGGTGTTGAAGATTTGGGTTACTTCTAAAACGTATACTATTAATTCCACCTCTTAAGTAAACAGTATCACAGCAAAACTTCAACCCAGATTTGATGGTAATTAGAATGGTGGTTAGTAGTTTAGACAAAGGCTTGGTTGAACAGTTAGACGAGCAAGCTATAAAACGTTGTTTACATGGATGCTTGTAAAGTTTAGGGATCCAGTGTAACGGAAGAGGTCCGTATCCTTATCATTGATAGGCAGTCTAAATGATTGTAATACCGAAGCATGATTAGTTAGTATTACGCCCTTTGAAAGATTGCATAATATATAGGTGTGGTTTCCTTCGTTAGCAAGCAAGTCCTGTTCTCATTGTATACGGGATATGTAATAACGTTTGCAGTCAAGGATCAAGGTATTGGACACCATATCATTGTTTTCATTGCCGATTTCAAGCTGCAATTTCTTTTCGAATGATGGACCGAAATGGATTTCACCCTCTCATAAAGTGAACCCAACGCAGAATATTTTCGTTTTCTACAGAATCCATAAGAATCTTGAAATTCACATTCAAAATTTACGTAAGAGGTTTCACGATATCTAGGACCCTCATGGGAAAGCTCTCATAACTAAACATTCTGAATAATGCTTACATAACCAGTTACTATGTGCCCAGTTAGACCATAGTTATACGTAGATGTAGAACAAGAATAAGCTGACGGAGGACTAGTTTAAGGTCATCTACATTAATTGATTTCAGCATTTGCTTGTTGCTGAAATGTTTGGATGCAATGGGCTTGTAGTAACTATAGAATATTACAGGGGTGTTTCTGCTTTGAAAGTATGGTGGAATGTAAGCCTGAACAGACTTCTGGTGTAAAATATTGCTGTATATACATGTTTAAAGAGCCTGGTTAGCGCTAATCATCAATAATGTTAAGAAATCTCCAATCTTTTTTCCACCGGTCACCAGAAGCAGTATTATCTTAGTCCACTTGAAGATTTCGCATCACGGAGAGAGGAAGCGAAAATAACGTAGCTCGAACATGATGGACACCTAGTCATGTCTTACGTATAGGACCACTTGTTTTTGTGCGAAACGTTTTCATAGCATCGTTCTGGAACAAATTAGTAATTACTGAGGTGACCCCATATATAGATATTTATAATACAGGATTATTAACATACAAATCAAAAAGAACATTTCCAAATCAGAAAGCGTACTGTCACTCTGAACCAGATCTATAAACCTAGGTTTCCTGTCATCACTCCATTTTATATTTACATTGACAGGATTACAGAGGTGTCATTGGGGTACCACAATGCACTCTGGGAGAGACCGGAGGTGGGGTACCACAATGCACTCTGGGAGAGACCGGAGGTGGGGTTCCACAATGCACTCTGGGAGAGACCGGAGGTGGGGTTCCACAATGCACTCTGGAAGAGATTGTCACCAAGGCTGTAAAACATAGTCAGGTTCCTGTTTCTGTTGCATGCTAAAAGAAGCAACATTGAGATAAAAACCCTTTCGATACAAGGATTTCTTCACTGGTGTTTCAATACGAATTTTTAAAAAGTTTTTTTTCTTCTAAAATGTACGCTATTGAATAAGATGGTTACAGATTTCGTCAATACAGATTGTACTACCAAGTCTTCCTCAGTATTGAAGTGAAAACAGGGGGAAATTATTTCCCCTAGTTGTCACCACCGATGCAACGACGCGGATACCGTGAGGTCTCGTGGAGCTGCTTTGACAGTTTGGTGCGAACCCGCACGACAGCTCTCTCTTCACTCTTAATTACTGAGGCATACGGACGTATCTTTTCGATTTAAACATGTCTCATTGCACATAAGTAGCAATATGATTAGCCACAAGTTTTTCAACTTAAATGAAGACCTTTCCATGCATATTAATACACAAAAATTGTATTTTCAAGGTGGCAGTAGGACATAATAAAAAATAAAAAAAAAATAAAAAAAAATAACAATGAAACAACTATATTTACCACTCCATGGTATTTCCACTATATAACATTAACAACTGTAGTTGCGCAATACCACTTCATAACTGCCAACTGGCGTATGAAATTAACAGTAATGGAAACGAATTGAGGTTGCCTCCCCTTGTACAGTTAGAGTAGGCATATTATACTTGTGTCGGATCATCGGTGCGAGTCATCACTGGTCCCATAATCGTTCCATTTCCACACACCAAAAGAAGAACATTAGCGACATACTATCTGCCATGATTAAAACTAAAAGCCCTGCTCCCTCGGCCACTTTCTCGCGTCCGATAGAAATGGTGGCCCTGTCATCCTGTCAAGCTGTCGAGTCACCGTCCCCCTCTGAGACGATACAGCCGAAAAATCACACCATAGCACTCCCTTCTAACAGCAAGTGAATGTCAACACAAAAAAGGTTTTTCTGCAACGTAAGTAAACCTCTCTGTTTTTCTAATTAGCTAAAAGCTGAGAGTGCCCTAAGTGTCCTGTGTGGACACACACCAGAATTCTACACAGTATATTTTACTGGTAACCGAAAATATCCTGCCTACCGAAAATCGGAGACCATCGGTTAACGACCAACAACCCGTTCAGCTGTTCCTTTTCTTCTTGAAAAGCGCGACACCTACATTGATGTCATACTCAAGGTACATCAGCTGTTTTATTAAATCTAATAACAATCCTTTTCAAAAGAGATCTGTTGCTTAACTTTGTGTTATTTTGTATATATACCGTTCCATATCCATTATACATTACGATACGTATGATAATTACCTATGATAATAAATGTCTCCGTCTTCCTCAACATGACGATCCTAGGGTAGAGGTGGCGACGTCTTTGTACCCTCACACCGCGTTCCCGCCGGCCTTTGTAGACCTCCCACAGTAGGAATCGAGGACGTGTCTCGTCCACTTCGTGTATGTAGGTTAATGAAAGATAGTGAAGTCTATGACGCAAGTGGTGAGCCTCGGACACTTTTTCAATGTAGGCCTCGGGCATTGACAAGGAGGATAACTCTAACTTCAATCTCATCCCGTCTTTGTTGTTGATGTAGTTGCCTAACCAAAGAGGGTAAACGGAGGGTAGATCCACGCCTGCCGGAACAGGGAAACGGTTTGGAGGTAATGTAGCGACATCAGTGTTGTCTGGTATAAGGTGGGCCAAATAGTACCTGTCAGCATCCTTCTCATACGGATTCCGGAGAAAGAAGTCCGTGTTCGTGATATCCGGCACACCTTTTAACTTTACTCTCCGCTCCCCTAATATTTTGAACGAAGTACTGGACTTATTGGAACATGGTGTAGCTTGCCAGTTATAAAGAGATATTCTGTTTCGTTCACAACTAGTAACAATGCCCATGTTCTAAAGGCGAGTCCCACTTTTCAGAAGAACATTTACATATCTTTGGTTTAGCAATGGAGCGGATTATACCTCCTCCCTTGAAAGTGTTGTACTGCAATGTCGTCATTGGAAACGATGGTGACGTAATGATCAAACTGGTGAATTGTTTCATTATTCCTGACGTCATTGTTTTGTGACGTCACTGAATTGTTTTGTTCTAAACCGGAACACGACGAAAATATACAGAATACCTTAGATTACTGACGAAAGTTTACAAATAAGCTGGTGCTGAGTTGATGTTTCGGTCACCTTTCTTAATACTATTATATAACGACATATATTTCGATGAAGCTAATCTTTCACAATAATATTGAATAGACACTTACAAGATGGACTTCATGCTGCTTCCGTGTAAGAAACGATGTATTTGTTGTACACGGAACCTTAAACAAGAAATGAAGTGCACCGGAGAACGAACATGCTCTTATCTTGAATGGTTAAAATCACAAATTTTAACGAGATTTTGGTAACATGTTTCTAACGATTTACGTATATGCTAAATTTATTTCAATTATTTAAGACATTCAGTATGATTTCATTTTCACAAGAACGAATGAAAAAAATTTTGGCATTCATAATATTTTTTAAACCAATCAACGGGTCGACAGTTCTCATTGCGTGCTACAGTAAGTGTATTGTGGGTAGTAAACTTCCAACCACGCTTCCGTTTAAAGTTGATCATATAGGCAGCTTTAACTTGTTGGTTTAGAATTACCAAACGAAATACCATTGTTTTTGAGAAGAATTGGGAGTTCAAATTAAATTAGAACAACTTTTTCCAGATCATTGTATAAATCTTCCTTGGCACATTTTAAGAAATCTAGCAGTTGTTGTAAACATATCTACACTGCGGTGGCTAGTTTTCGTAATCATATTTCTATCGATCTGGCTAAAAATGAAGGGTTGTATTTAGGCACATTTCTTCTTTAACCGTTGCAATCATTAACATTATTTTATTCTACCAAACAAATATATCTCCATATGTTGTTCTGGTCATCCATGTGCCTAATGGGAGGGGCCCTAATCGTGTCCAATGGGAGTGTTCCTGATTGTGTGTAATGAGAAGGGACCTAATTGCGTTTAATGGGGGTGTTCCTGGTTGTGTCTAATGGGAAGGACCCTGATCGCGTCTAATGGGAAGGACACTGATCGCATCTAATTGGAAGGACACTGATCGCGTCTAATTGGAAGGACCCTGATCGCGTCTAATGGGAAGGACACTGATCGCGTCTAATTGAAAGGACACTGATTGTGTCTAATGGGAAGGACCCTGATCGCGTCTAATGGGAAGGACACTGATCGCGTCTAATGGGAAGGACACTGATCGCGTCTAATTGGAAGGACACTGATTGTGTCTAATGGGAAGGACCCTGATCGCGTCTAATGGGAAGGACACTGATCGCGTCTAATGGGAAGGACACTGATTGTGTCTAATGGGAAGGACCCTGATCGTGTCTAATGGGAGGGGTCCTGATCGCGTCAAATGGGAAGGACATTGATCGCGTCTAATTGGAAGGTCACTGATCGCGTCTAATAGGAGGGGTCCTGATCGTGTCTTATTGGAAGGACACTGATCGCGTCTAATGGGAAGGACACTGATCGCGTCTAATGGGAGGGGTCCTGATCGCGTCCAATGGGAGGGGTCCTGATCGTGTCTAATTGGAAGGACACTGATCGCGTCTAATGGGAAGGACACTGATCGCGTCTAATGGGAAGGACACTGATCGCGTCTAATGGGAGGGGTCCTGATCGTGTCCAATGGGAGGGGTCCTGATCGCGTCTAATGGGAAGAACACTGATCGCATCTAATGGGAGGGGTCCTGATCGCGTCTAATGGAAAGGACACTGATCGCGTGTAATGGGAGGGGTCCTGATCGTGTCTAATTGGAAGGACACTGATCGCGTCTAATGGGAGGGGTCCTGATCGTGTCTAATGGAATTTTGAAGTCAACATCAAGGATTTTGCGTTGAAAAAGCAAAAGGAAAAGTTATAATTTAATTGTTTTAATATCAGTCTTTCACCTGTCATATTTGTAAATACCACACAAGAGAGGTGAAGGATTTCCTACGGGAACATCATGACAATGCATCTTTCTTGTTACTGCTAGACGCTAAATTACTCCCCCCTTGAAATTAATGAGACGCGTCAGTCATTTTCATTTTGTTGAAACGTATGCAATTTTTTTAGTTTAAAGTTTTAGTAACTCCCAAGTGTTTATGACATTCACTTAGATTAAGAAATTCATTATCAAATTGTAATTCAAAGTCATCAACATTAGAAACATTAGAAACAAAAAGTACATCTGTTTTACTTGGATTAAAATCAACTAGCCACTTTTTTGCCCGTATATTTAGAGACTCTAGGTCTCGGTTTAACCAAGTTTGGGTCTCATGACAAGAAGATGAAATGGACATAAGGGAAGTATCGTCTGCAAATAGGCGATAAGCTGAAGAGAGGACCTCAGAAACATCGTTTATAAAATCTAGAAAAAGAAGAGGCCCAAGAATATACCCTTGAGGAACGCCAGCTTTAATTATGCCAATATCAGAAAATGAATTTAAAATAATTACTTGTTGTTGTCTATTAGTGAGGTAATTTTTTAGCCAGCCTAACAATTCGTCGGATATACCATATGATTTTAGTTTAATTATTAATCCCTGGTGCCAAACGCGATCAAAAGCCTGAGAAATATCACAAAATACTAAACAACAATGCTTTTTTTTCTTCAGGTGCCAAACAAATACTATGATAAATCTCAATTAACTGATAAACAGTAGAATGTTTTGGCATAAAACCCGACTGATACTTGTAAAACAGATCATTTTCCATAAAGTAATTGTGAATATCTTTATATATAACCTTTTCAAAAACTTTTCCAACAGTAGATAATAGAGATATTGGTCTATAATTACAAGGAGAATGCTTATCACCTTTTTTGTACAGTGACATTACTGTAGCAAGTTTCCAAATAGATGGATAAATACCGGACGATAGAGAAAGGTTAAAAAATATTTCAAGCGGTTTGGAAACCGTTCGAGATGTAAACGTTAGCATTTGGTGACTAATTCCGTCATGTCCAGAGGCCTTGCCTATTTCAAAATTTGTAAGATATCTGTAATCTCCTCAGATTTTACCCTGATAGAATTCAATACTTTGTCTATTTTATCTTCAATAACTGGTGTTTCAATGTTTGTATCATCTACATTAGTAACAGCGCAAAAGCAATTATTTAGAATGTTGGCTTTATCAACATCATCAGTAACTAGTTCAACATTATCCGAATTAGGACGAACAAGAGTAGGAATTGATTGGGAAGTACCGGATGCCTTCATTAGTCTTTTGATCAATCTCCAATAAGCTTTTGGGTCTGAACTGGAATAGTGGTCAATAATACCGTTAACATTTTCAAAAAAAATCACACGTGCATATTGTTTTATATTATTGACTTTGTTACGCTGGGCTTTAAATTTACTAATATCTACATGAAGTTTCGAAAGTCGAGCTTTTTTATGTAACCTATCACGAATCTGTATATTTTTCCTTAACTCAGATGACATCCAAGGGGTATACAATGCTGAGCAAAGTCTATATATTTATTTGTAAAAAAAACTCGCAAGCACTATCAGCTGATTTCATTCTACCCAATGTATTTTCCCAATCGTAATTAGCAATAAGGTGATTGAATCTGTCGAAATCTGCATGTTTATATATCCAAACTTTACGTTTATATATAGGTTTTGTATCAAATGAGATTTCGACAGAAACAAGACTACCATCATGGTCACTAATAAGTCTATCGATAGGTAAAACAAAAGAATCCAGGTATTTAAGGGATTCAGAGAGGAAAATAGGGTCTAGTAGACTAGCTCTACTAGGGCCAATTCTAGTCTCAATGGTATAGTTAACATATCTCCATTTAGATCACCATTTATTACCAAGTTCGGTGAAATATCCAGAGCTGTTTCTATCGAAGAATACAAATTATTCCAAAACGGATTATTAGAATTTTCTGGTCTATACAGTGTTCCTATAATTTTTTTGTAATTTGGTAGATCTATCATCGACCAAATAGCTTCAATACCTGGAATTTCTAAATCAAACAAACGTGAAACTTTTAATCGATCATTTATATAAACTAGGACCCCGCCACCAGCAAAATTTCTGTTTAAACGAAATGGATCATGAAAACCTTCTAAAACTAAACATTCGTCTGAGATATTTTCCTCTAAGTGTGTCTCGGTAAAACAAAGAACATTGTACTCTCCTGCTATATCTTCTAGAAAATCTAACTTATTCCTAATACTTCTTATATTCAAATGAAATATTGATAAATCATTTGGTCCAGGATTAGACTCGGCATCCATGTGCATGAGTAATAATAAAAGAAGTACAACTGAAAAATTGATGTTGGTAAAACTAGAGTATATGAAGACAAGTAATGAATAGATGGGCCTGAGTACAAGGTTCTCAAACAGTAACATATGGGTAAACAAGGATCTAATACTAAAAATAACTTTATTAGAATTGATAAAACACTTCCCGTAGACCTTACTGTAAAAAATACCTATTGACATCCTGTAACACATAATATTATTACCCATTATCAAATATGTATCTCTTACAAATGCTTTTCAGGCAATACGGTTCAAAACAGAAATGTACAATCCAACAAGGGTTATACTGGGGAGAGCAACCAGAGGACAGAGTTTGACAAAAGGCAACAAAAATAAGCAAACAATGAATGAACATATTTACACAAACATGAGCTGTAAGGAACATTAACATAATGATTCCGACAGGGTTCCAGGTTTTCAAAACGGATTTGGATTGGAAAGATGGCAATTATATCTCAGTAAAACAACCACCACTAACTACAACAGAATATATGTACAAGTATATGTATATAAATGAATAGGGAAAAAACTAAAATTCAAGAAGAGACCAACCAGCGCCCCTG